TGGATGGATGGATGATGGATGGATGATTGTTGGATGGATGGATGATGGATGGATGATTGTTGGATGGATGATGGATGGATGATTGTTGGATGGATGATGGATGGATGGATGATTGTTGGATGGATGGATGATTGTTGGATGGATGAATGTGAACATTACTACTAAGAAAGTAAGATTTTATGATGATATTCTCATTTTATTCTGCAGCTTTTTTCACAGAGGGATGTTTTTAGTGTCACTGCAGAGTTCCATCAGTATGATGTCACTACAAACTGTTTGATGCTAAAGGCTTTTAAAATACCAAGACAGGAGCAAAAAAATATATATATATTATAGTTTAGCTAGTGGCTAAGGTGAGCTGTTGAATTGGTGCTAGCTGGTTGAATGCAGGTAGATGTTGAGGGATACTGGGAAAACAAAAGGCCCATGAAAATACCTAACAGTGCAAGGCTGTGAAAAGGCTGCAGTGCAAAATGAGAATATCATCATAAGTTTTTGCTTTTTCAGGAGCAATTACATTTTTTAATGATTGAACTTCAGTGTTTGACATTTTAATGCCTTTTTTTTTTTTTTACACCGTTTTCATGTCAATACAAAGCGTTACTGGTTTACCTCCATGTATTAATGACCTCCAGTTTCTCCGCATTAGCTTTAGATTTCTGCAGCAAACGCAGAGTATCGGTCTGGAAAGGAGCTGATAGAAATGATTTCAAAGGTGGGTCTAACAGTCGACAGAAACAAGCTAGAACCAAACAGAATCAGGTTCTACAGACCTGAATCGTTCAATAATTCTGATCCAGGAGGCTCAGGAATCTGATTAATGTTCACAGACCCCAAAAACAGACGCAATTTCTCTAAAAAAAGAAGTTCACTTGATGCACATTGTTTTTTTCGGCGCTGGGTTCTGCAGCCAAATGTGTTGGAGTCACTCAGCGTTTTCAGGCCTGTGCCATGGCTGCGTGCAGGAATGTTGGCCCCATTCCATGAAACATTTTCGCTCTTAATCCAGCAATGATCTCATTTTCTCTTCCAGAGAAGTCAGAGCCGACTGATATTGGCTTCAGTCCAAACACTTTTCCAGAGGATTCTGAGCTTCTGCTGCAATAAACCTGCACAGTGTTTAAGTTTCTGCAGCAAAGCAGTTTATTAATGTGCAGCTTTGTCAAATTGTGGAACCAAAAGGGTTGAGAACCATCTTTTGGAACACTTTGCACCTCTGCATTTCATTTCTTAATAATCTTCAACTGCTTTAAATCATTAAAAAGTTTGATGTGATTTTGTTTTGATGCCAGACCACATAAACGAAATAGATCCTCAGTTGCGTTCTCAACATGGTTGTGTATATATATATATAGAGGAGAGCGTAAAAAAAGTAATTTCCCTCTGGGATTATTAAAGTATTTCTTATTCTGATTCCCTCTGCTCTAAACAGATAATATTCATAGTATCTAATCAGAAGCAGATGAGGGTTTCTGTGTTTTGGCAGGAAGAGCAGAAAATCACTGAACTCTTTCTGGGGAATTTTCCAGATTCTTCATCTTGGACTCATTTAAGGTTGGAAACAATGAAAACATTTTCCAACCTCATCTGCTACCGGTCCAACCCTGCACCGACTGCTGGTCCACTACAGATAAATCAATAGTCTGAATTATATTTATGTTTATGCATTTAGCAAAACTTTTATCCGAAGCGACTTACAAAGAAGACACAATGTTACAGTTATCATCAATGTGACAATAAGTTCTCTGAGGGAAAATCTTTAGTTAGAATCAGTGGTGACGGCAAAGAGAGAGACGGAAGTGCAGAAAGAGTAGTAGAGGGGTACAGAGCTATGGGTAAGAGTTAGGACAGGAGATGCTCTGTGAATAGGTGGTTCTTTACACTGCAAAAAATGTAAATCTAATTAAGTCATTTTTTCTTAAAATAAGTACATTTTTTTCTTGAATTGAGGGAGTAAGTGAGGAATTTTGCCAACGAAACGAGACAATTTACATTTAAAATAAGAAAAAATAACTGCATTGTCTTATTTCAAGTGCATATTATCTAATTAACTTATTCCAAGAGCAAAAATACTAATTCCATTGGCAAATTATCTTATTTTCCTACTTTAAATTAAGAGTAAATTCACTTAATTTAAGACATTTTCACTTATTTCTAGATCATTTTTGCAGTGTAGGAGTTCCCTGAAGTTAGAGAGTGATGCTGCTGTTCTTGTACCGCTTGGTAGGTCATTCCACCATCTTGGAACAACTCATGAAAACAGTCAGAATCAGAAACAAGTTTCCTGCCAAGCAGGTTTGCTCTCTTAAGGAATTTGACTTAGTGTTGATGGTGCAAACAAATTAGATATATATACAGAATATAGAATCTATAGCTATATACAATATAACACATACACCATACTATATGCAATATATAGTACATAGCTATATACTATATACACAGTAAAGAGTTAATGTAATGCAGGAGGTGTGGAGATGCTCAATGGTGTGGCTTCTAGGTTCTCAGCGGGGGAGGGAATAGAGGCAGTGTCGTGGTGATGGGGGTCTCTGGGCCTTGTTGATAAGGCTGGTAGGGGGAAGAATGGGAAGGATGGGAAGAATCCTAATGCATCATCTCCTGCGTGCCTCAGAGTTCTGAAGGTGTGATGGGCTTTCATCTGTTTGGATATGTCCGACAGACAACCTGAGATATGTGCTGAATTCAAACAAATTATAAAAGACAAAGAAGGAGCATCCTGGGAGGAATGAAAGCTAAACAAAATCACCACATTGTCATGAAGCGGAACAGATGGACCCAGTATTTAAGGACAGACGGTCAGTAGGAAAGTTCAAAACGTTTATTGAAATAAAAAACAAAAACTAAAGTGGAGTTGCTAGGATCTGCGGCTCGTGGATGCAGCAGGAAGCGGGCGGGGCACCACCCAATCACGGAAAATCTGGTTCAACAGTCCAGTCCATGACCCTAGAGGGTGGCAGAATCCGGCCTGCTGGACTGAAGGCTGACGCAGCGAGTGTCACAAGAGTATCCCCGGTGCTGCAGCTCCGGAGGATAAGCAGGAAGCCGACCCAGGCCAGGGAAGGAACAGACAGTTGACAGGATTCAGGCTTCCAGGCAATAACAGGCTTCCAGGCAGGTTCAGAGTCTGACAGAGTCCAGAAGCATGACCAGACAGACACGCATAGGAGCAGACAGCATCAGGCTCAGTGGTAGAGGGTAGCAGAGACAGGACGTGGAACCAGAACTTGATGCAGGAACTTTAAACTGGTCTCCTCCCTGCAGCCAGGCCTACTGGAATAAAAACTGAACCTCCCCGCGTAAAGAGCCAAAAACTCAGAGGACTCAGCAGGGGAGGAACGGTGGACAATCAGGAGACGAGACAAACACAAAACCCTCTTTCCACTGGCTGCTAGGATCCAGGACATAAACCATGGAATAAACAGACACACAGACTGAACAGAAAACAAAATATAATGATCTGGACCCGAATGCTCAGGCTGAACAGAATATGAACCAAATGAAACAGGTGAGAGGAATAAATGATCATTGCGGCAGGGAAGGAAAACGACAGGTGAAAGAAATAACCAATTAAGGCTGAGCAAACAGGCCAGATCTTGACACAAACATACATGTAATTTAGAAAAGGGGCTGCAGGTTTATTTGATCTTCAACAGGGATGAAGAGAAGCATAACAGAAAACCAAGGCAGGCATTGGAAGGCCTCTGAGCAAGATTCCAGTCAGGCTGGGAGTTGAACCTGCAACCTTCTTGTTGCAACGCAGCACTTGAACCAAACCTTGAGCTCAGAACAGTTTCAGCAGCATCAGGCTGCATCGTCTCCTCTGCTGTAAATTCAGGAAGCTCTCAGGTTCAGAAGAAAAATAGTTTTGCTGCAGGAAGTCTTTCACTTTAGTTGTTCTTAATAACCTGCAGCAGCTTAAAAAGCTGCAGAGGAGAAACAGACACGCAGCTTCAGCTGAACTCCGGCCGGCTGCTGGTACTGAGATAAAATCAGAGGTAAGGCTGAGCGCTACATATTACCCGATGGGACGTTTCGGCCTGATTCTTTGGGTCTTCAAGCTTGTTGGCTCCAGCCTTCAGGTGAGGTTGTAGTGATGGAAAAGAGAAAAAAATTGTACTTTATCTTCTTACAAAAATCCACCAGAGACATTAAAGATTGTCAATGTTTGTAAACTAGTTCTTCTGTTTAAATCATTTTGGGCCTTATTGCGTTCCAGAGCAGCATTTCTCACTTTCTGTCATTTAACGTTACGCTGTCAGCAGGAAGTAACTCAGCAGGAAATATGTTTGCATGGATTTTAAGATGGATACTATGAAGGGTTGAAGTGTTTTGGTAACTAACAGCTGATGGGCACAAAATCCAGGTCCTGAAACCTTTCCGGACTAAAGAGCAACACAGAGGAGCTGCACAGAACAACAGAGGTCGCTGGAAAAGGAGAAGATGGAGCAGCTGCTTCCCACCTCTAAAGCAGGACTGCAAACATGCTTTTTTTTTTCCATTTACTTTGGCTAAATTATGATAATCTGATGACTTCCTAGATTTAACAAGTCTACCAAGAAATCAACTCTAAACATTCTGAAACTAATAAATGAAAGGAAGATGCTATAAACCAGAGGTAGTGGATCTGGATCCACCTGCTGGCTAATCCAGACCCAAACTGATTTAAAACATTTATAAATTACCGCATGTTTTCTGGCGAAAGTGTCTAACTTCGACTGCACTGCTTCTACTGTAAATACGGTAAGGCCCTCCGGAGCGTCCGGCTGGGTTGCAGTGTGGACTGCTGGAAGAACTGCGGTGAACTGGTGAAAGAAAAGTGAAATGGCGTGCTCAAAGATGACCCTGC